CCTCCACACGTGGCTCACCCCCGTGAGCAGGTACGGATGCCGCTGTTGCCGTACCCGGGTGCCACGTGGGAATTGCTGTCGCATCCCAGGAGGGCTCCTGGGAGCCCACGCACGGACACAAGCCGCTCTGGTGCTGGCTAACATCGGGAACTCCTCGCTGCCTCCCTTTCCCTTCCCAACTGCGATTCGTTTAACAGATGCTTGTAGGAGACCTCTGAGAGCTCAGGCAGACTCTGGCTGCGACGCGAGGGTGGGGAGGCACTCTCTGGGTACCACATGTGAAAGCACAGGCTGCTGCTAAGGGAGGAGTGAGAAGATAAGCCCCCACATAATTCCCCTCCTACCAGTAAATCCACAGTCAAAGACCCTTTTAGTCCCTAAAAGCTTCCCCAGGGCCGCTCTCGGGAGCCCCCACACCGCTGTGATGGGGCAGACGTGCCCGCTCTGCGAGGAGGCACGACAGATTACACTTCTCACACTTTTCTATGAAGTGATGTAAATTACTTCACCTGCTTTTGGATCTGTTGTGCTGCTTTCTCCTACTTTCTGTTGGGTCTATTCATTAAGCGAAGGGCTCTTGGAACGTTGGTTTTTTAATGTCACTTCCTCCTTCAAAATCAGTATTTTAAATCCTTATGCCTGCAAATACCTTATACCCCAAGCAGGAAAGCAGCCCCACCAGCCACGCTACAGAGGAATAACCACTCGCCCACGCAAATTAAAAGTCTGGTTAATTTTTCCTGCACAGAACAAGAGACAGAACTGCTTATAGCTGAACTCAGATGTCATCGCACAACGGCGTTCCCGTCGCTGACGTGAAGGGCAAGCAGCTTGCTACTGAGCGTGGAGGGAGCGAGGGTGCCGCCATCAAGACTCTGCCCAGGCAGAAACACACTCACAAACCCCACCTTTGTTTCACCAGAGCACAGGAGGAGATCTGTTTTTTTCTACAACACACAGTCGATTCAATCTTTTTTGCTTTCCTTGGTGATAAAATGCTAAATGTCATGAGAACTGTAAGGACACTGATGGTTATCCCGAGCACAGAAACTCCACATTCCCCCTCCTGTTTAGACTTCCTAAGATGCCCAAGCCACTTCCACTTGCTTTGTCACTCCTAAGGCAATTTCTGAGCACTGCAATTCAATTTTGCTTGCCCAATGACAGCAGTGAGAGCACGCTAACCAGGTCATGCAATGAAATACAAACCAGTCGGCCAACGCGAATGCACCCCAAGGGTCACCAGCGCAGCGCCTTCAACCCGCCCCGTGCTGAGCAATGGGGACATGAACAATACTTGCATGTCTTGGCTGGATATGGATGACCTAAATGTCTCTGTTTCAGAGGTAGCAATGCGCAGCATGAACGTCTCCCTTTCTTGCCACGACTCCCTTAAATTTTCGAGGAAAATTCAGAAGGAACAATGCAAATCTACCTTCGTTAATCTTCTTCTCCAGGTTTACTGACTGCTGTCCCTCTCTCCTCCCAGATTACAGATCTCAGGCTTCTCCCCTTGTAACCTCATCTTATGAAAGATAAAGGTAAGTCACAAAAGAGACAAAATAGCCTCCTTATGCACAAACATCATCCACTGAGTCGTTCAGTCAGTTAAAGCATGACATTCCCACTGTGTACAAAGATGGCAGAGAGCCCTGCAGCTCCTCGTGATGGACTTGGTAAAGGCAGACGCAGAGGCAGGTGTAACACCTTGATGACAGCGTCTTGTGCGTTGGATGGGCTGGGCAGAGGGTGCAATTTTGCCTCGTGAGCTCTAGCTGTGGGCTGTGGCGGGCAGCAACGGAACTGATGAAGGCACTGCTTGAATTTGCCTGTAGGCTTGCTCCCCTCCCGAGGAACCGGGCACGCAGGGAAGCAGCTTAGATCTGTCAACAGCAGCATAAGCAGGTTTTGGGGACCATGGGAGAGGCTGGATTCAACAGCACTGGGGTCTTTATGGGTGTATGGGCCTAGAAATCACAGATACAGAAAGTCTTCTTTATTTTACTTACGTCTTTCTGATCCAGACATAGAGAAGGACTTGCTCTCCTCGGCTCCTGTTGTGTTGCTCTTTATGGCAGGGCGCTGGAGAGAAAATGGATCCCTTCTAAAGGACCACCTACTCCTAAGGAGTGATGGCTTTGCACACAATAGCCCTTTTTCAGCTGCTGCAGGAGGATGGGTGCCCAGTCTTTCAAAACAAAGAGTGCAATAAACCACAAAAAAAACTTTACAAGTGTACAGCTGAGCTTTAATTTTAAGGGCAGGGATAGATCAGGGGGCATTTCACCCAGTCGAGTTTAACCAGCTCTTTGCTCGGTCTCGTCTGAAAGGATTCACAGCAAACCCGTTGTTTGTGAGCTTTTTTCAGTGAGACAGCCTGGCCCTATACGGATCCCAACGCCCTCGTGCTGACTGAGCCTAACAAGGCGAGCCCCTGCTCCGTGTTAAAGGCTGACTTCATCTGAACCGCAGTTTCACCAGCCTGAAGAGTGGCCTGACTCAGAGGAGTGCAAAAAGTCCCCTTGAAATCCCGTGACTGTTGCCAACGGGGCGTCGAGTGCATCAGGAAAAGCTGTTTTCCCTCCATACCCAGCTTCGCAAGCGTTTTTTTTGGCACCTGAGATGCAGTAGGGCTCTCTCCCTCTCACGGCTCCGCGCCAGCCATGAAAGCTCTACGGGTCTTTTCATGCTCACAGAGACATCCGTACAGCCCCCAAATCTTCAGCGGCTTCACGCAGCTGGAAGTGCCCGGGCTGCAGTAAGCATCTCTATAGAAAATGAAGAGGGAGAAACAGCACCCAGCTCACGCTGTCAGCTGCCTCCTCTTTGTGCTCTCTAAGTGAGAAGGCATAAAAGCTGATTTACGTCATGAAAGCCAGCAGATGTGACGGGTGCAGGCAGACAGCGCATCAGCTGACCGAAGGGATGCTGCTTTTACTGCTGGCTTTTTGGAGAGGAACCACGTTAACGGGGAGGAGACCAAAGGCTTGGGGGTTGAGCCGGGAGAGGACCGAGTCTGTGGGTGCCATGTTTCCCACCTGCCATTCGTGCTGGGGGTACAACAGGGTAGAGAAGATCAGACACCGTCATTTTTTTCCTATCTGCATCGGCCTCGCTCGGGGTTGTTTATCTGGGTTAGGCAGGGGGGTCTCATTTATGCCGAATGTGTAAACGAACAGCAGCTGCCTCTGCCCTCCTGCTGCTCAGCATCCCCAGAAACGCTTCGCAAAAAGAGATCGAAACAGTGAGCAAACATCAGCGTTGTGCCGGGGTGCAGCTCCGGAAAGCTGCACCGGACTTGCCTGCTTTCCGGACGCAAGAGCAATGTCGGAGCTGCACAGTGCTCGGTTTCTGCAGCGGGGCGTTTCAGAGGGGAGGCTGAGCCGGCACCCTGCTCCTCACCTGCAGAGCTCAGCATCCCCGGGAGAGATGCTGTAACCTCCGGCTCAGGGGAGCAGAGTTAAGGCTGACATTTAAGAAAGCGGCGTTGGCGTTCACGCCCTTCCATTTTGTGCTCCGTGGCTTTGAATCACAGGCTCTGGCTTGTGTCAACCAGTGCCCAAAGGTGACCTGTACTAAAAGCTGCCTTTGGCTTCACCGTTTGGGTGTCGCGGCCCGAGTTATACCCACAGAGCACCTCGCGCTCTGCTCAGATCAGAGCTTCGCTCCCTGCCCCCCGGGTCTGCCCTCTCTCTGCGTATCCTTCTTTATCTCCTGACTGTGTTTCCCCTGCCCGGCTGCAGAGCTCTGTGGCGCTGAGCTAATGGCTGGGCTTTTGCAAACCATGGCAGGAGATTCTGGTTCCTTCCCAGTAAATCCTACGGGACTGAGCAGCCTTGAGCGTATCAGGGCCAGGATCAGAGGGAGGCGACAACTGAGGTTTATAAAGAAGTGGACGTGAGAAGGTGTAGGGTGTCTCAGCCAGTCTGGAGGGACATCGTCGTGATGTTAACATCACCCTGAAATCTGCCATCGGTACAACCCAAACAGCCAGGTGACTTCATCAAATAGTTTGCTGGAGCTCCCAAACCTGGCTCAAAGAGGCTAGAAGCCACAGCCCCCCTGGTCTTTTCGGAAGAGACAACCGATACCTAACAGCAACCTTTCCCCTGCTTCATTCCTCGTCAACAGCTTTCAAGCCCGACATCATTACTAGCAGGAGAGTAAAGAGCCTCCGAGCGACAGAGCTGACAAGAGCGAGCCCTCCGTGCTGCCGCAAACCGGGCGCAGCTGAAATCATCACCAAGTCTGAGTGCGGTCTCCAATGCCTTTTCGTTAGACAAGTGCAACTGGGTGCCCGCTGCAGTCGTCGTTAGTCCCGAAAGCATGCACCCCAATCACGCTGAATGCAGGGCCAGAACGCATTAACGAGTCTCCTTGCATCCTTTCTGTGTATTTAATTCACTTGTATTAATTGCACTCCAATACCAGGGAGCAGGCAGGTCCTCACTAGCTTTATTTCCAGATGGTGTTTGGAGCCTCATGTCACAGTGGGCAGTCATAAAAGCTCTACAAGAGCAAATTACCTGAGGCACCAAACTGTTCCAGTCTCACTTGGGAAAATGAACTTCTGTAGCCTGAAGCAGCAGGTTCTACTCCTAACCTGAGCCTGCCCCAGGAGCGGGCAGCCACCCTGCACCTCCGCACCATGGCATGACTGCTCCCTTTACTTCCATTTCAAAAGCCCACCTAGCTGTATCTCTTCTTTCTGGATATAGGGTCCTGTTCACGCGTTTTGAAAACACACAGTCAGCTAAAGAGGCGAAATGAAACACTGCGACTTTACCGCTGCAAGGAAGCATTACCTGGGCATGCAGACTTGATTTCGAAGAGTGTGGAGGAGGACAAATCCCCCCAGGATTTCAGAGTCGAGGGGGAGTGACTGACAAAAGCACATTACTGTAGCACCCCAGTGAGCATTTGGCGATCTTGGAGGAGTTGCTGGCTACGCAGTATGCCGTAAAGCAGTGTCGGGGCCTCCAAGACCCAGTTAGACTCACCGTGGTTTCGTCTTCATGGAGCACCTGGTCATAGCCACTCAGCGCGACGCAGAAAATGATCGCTGTGACATCCTCAAAGCAGTGGATCCACTTCTTGCGCTCTGATCGCTGGCCCCCGACATCAAAGAGCCTACGGCACAGGAGGCATCATCAGGCATCATCACAGAGGGCATTGGTGCCCGCTCCTCCTCAACTACGAGGAAACCTTAGCACTCTTGGCATTTGCTGACCATATGGCCCCTGGAAGGCTCCGAACACCAAGCAACAGGTCTTTCACCACTGGCTTGGTCTTCTCCTCCAGAGCCTGGAGCCGAGGAGGACCAGGAGGAGCAGTTACAGCTAGGGATGTGGGGATCTGCGAGAGAGCCTCAGCAGCGTGCTGGGTCCTGAAGGGTGTGCGGGGCTGGAGACTGCACGCTCTTGGCTTTTCTATGCTCTAAACACTGCAGATTTCTGTCTTCATGCCCTCTTCTCTCTGCTGGCTGGCATTGTGAGGGTTAATAGACAACGTTAACCACATGCGATTGACCCACTTTAGAGAAAAGTTTTGGCCAAATATTTTCAAGTTTACAAGCTTGATCAGATGTGGGGCTGATCTCATACTAGACCTCTCAGCACAGCGCTGTCGTTTGGGTGAGCTCCTATCCTAGAGGCAGGGATTTTCAAGACAAGATTGGCAATCGTCTCATATTGTTAACCCCCCAAAACGCGGTGTCCTCTGCAGTGGGAGCCATCCGTGTGTTAAGCAGCAACTTAACAACATCTCCTTTGGGAGCTGTGGGGAAACCCTGTGGCAAAGGGATGCCCTGAAAATTTACCAGTACATGCATTTGTAGACTAACCTGAAGTGGAGGTTTTTGAATGTGAAGTGGGTTTCTACGATGCCAGTTGTTTTGACCCTGGTTCGGAGGATATCCTGCTCTGTGGGCTGGTAGTCGGCAGCTCCGATGCGATCTAAGCTGTCTAGGTAGCTAAGAGAAGAAGGGAAAAGAAAAAGAAAACGGATAAGAATAAGACATGCATTAATCTTCATCAATCTCAGATGAATCCTTCAGCTTCCTATTAATCTTCTTCAATCTCATTTTTCATGGCTCAATGTATTGTAGCTAAAGGAAGAAAAATCCTGTTCTGGGGAAAAAGAAACATTAACAAAGCCCACTGACCCAAGCATAAAATCTGATAGTGAGCTGAAAGCAGGAAATGAAGCGTGCGTGTGTCGTGAGCCCTTATTGCAGTCTGTGAAAAGACATGGTTTTAATATTACTCGCTACTTTTATTCCCTGAGAGACGCAGGTTCCAGTCGGTCTGTTGTGCTGGATGCCGTACACACGCATGCTTTTCGTTTATTCAGATAAGAGCTTGGAGCGTACAGGTCTTGCTCCCAGCGCAGACAGGACGAGCCACCTTCCGGAGACACCTCTCTCTCTGCCGGGAAGGGGGAGAGATGGGGCGGCTTGCCGGCGAGACGCCTTGCCTTCCGTCAGCTCGGTCGAAGGGCGAGGAGTCTGCCCCAGCGAGTCCCTGCTGCGGTTTGGAATCCAGCGTAGGGCTGGGACAGCGGGAGATGCAGCGTGTGGACAAAACCGGGGGCCCGCTTTGACGGTGATAATCTGGGAGTGTAAATTGGGGTTTTTTTGGGGGTAGAGGGGGAATTTATCTTTCTAAAAGACTTGGATAGTTTTAAAACATTTACCCTTATTCTGCCTTAAAATCTATGAACGTAGGCAACGCCTCCATGAGCTGCAACCTTGGGTAAGAAGTCCTCTCTTTCGGCACAAAATTCTGTTATAGAGGAACCCAGCTGTGCACATGCGACCACAATCCATTTTTTTTCATCCATATTCAAGACAATTTTTCAAAACAACTCAGCTCAACTAAACATAATTTATAAAGAAAAGAGGAATTTGGACTGCAATTTAATATGAATTATAAACACAGAGCTGTATCGTGCAGTAAAGCCTTTCTCACCACCACTGAGCTACATGCAGACACTCCAGTTCCCCTTCAAGAGGGTCTGATGTGCACTACATGGCCTCAATGCCTACCTCTAGCCCCAGGAGCACCAACTGAGATGCATTCAGTGCACTGTGAATATCATAAAGCAGGTCTGTGCATCAGGAGCGGTCTTGCCCTTTGGATCTCTGTGCTTCTGGCAGTCGGGACGTGACCCAAAGAGGCAGTGGGGCAGGAGGCGACATGCTGCGGGCAGGACGGGAGGGTACCCCCTTTGACAACAGCTTTGCCCGATGCAGCTCGCAGAGAATAAAGAGTAGTAAGAGGAGCTGAGCAGCTGCAGGCAAGGAAAAGACACTGCTGTCCCTGGATAGTAAGCATTTACTGGTGAGTGAGAGCAGGTATGAGCTGGAAGTTCTGTCTGAACATGAGGAAGAAATTTTTCCCTCTGAGGGTGACGGAGCCCTGGCCCAGGCTGCCCAGGGAGGCTGTGGAGTCTCCTTCTCTGGAGATATTCAAGCCCCGCCTGGACGCGGTGCTGTGCAGCCTGCTGTGGGTGACCCTGCTTGGGCAGGGGTTGGGCTGGGTGACCCACAGAGGTCCCTGCCAACCCCGACCATTCTGTGATTCTGTGATTCTGTGGAACCATTCACAGAAGATAGCCATGATGTTGAAACTTGACTTTCTCTTTCAGTTTAGCTGATAATTTTTTTTTTAACATAGAGTGTGGGTTTAGTCCTGATGAGTAACCCAGTCACACAGAGTTGCTAGCGAGCACATTCCCTGCCATGCCTTGCCGAAGCACATCCCGCTTGGCCTGGACATGCCGCCCCATCCTGCTGGTGGAGATGCTTTCCCTGCTGCACCAGAAAGCAGGGAAAGGCTTTCCATCTGTGTCCTGGAGGGACTGCTCTGAGCCAGCCCTCCGGAGCGGGATGCCCAGCGCACCGGGGCAACGCACCGTGCTACCTGAGAAAACTCATCGCCATGGGCTTTCACGCCTGCCTCGCTAGCCTGGAAAAACAAACAGACAACCGAACTCTACGCTGAGGTGAAAAACAAACCTCGCCCCGATCGCGTCATGCATTTTGGCTACGCATCATATTCGTCATTCGTTTTCGCTAAAGAGTTACAAGAATCACGTCACCCAGAGAAAAGTATATAAGCTAAGCAGGCTTATTTTTATTGTGTCCTTTTTCAAGCATTTAAAGCCATTGTGGTTTTGTGACAGATGCTCCCTTAATAGCCTTATGATGGGCCCTGGATGGATGAATGGGGCTTCATTTGAAATCAGATCCTCTGCTGTGATGGCTGAAGCCAAGATCCCTCATCTATTCACAACTGGTGTCAATTCTTGTTATTTATGAGACAGCTGCATTTCTTCACATGTCCCTGCAGACCAAGGCAGCTCTGCAGTGCTGTTATTCAGAGACCCAGGCTCTCCTCTGTCCTCAGGAACAAAATACTTCAAGGTGATGATAAAAAGTGGAGGTGTAAGAGAGGAAAGGATTTTCTTTCCCTCTTGCAGCTCTTGACAGCACCCTGAAGGTCTTTATCACTCCCTCCATCCCCATTTTCTGTACTTTCCTATGATTCAACTCTCTTCACTTTAATGATCACTATTAATTATTCTTGCCTGGTAAACCCTCCTTTAATGCTGGGGGTGAAGCAAATGAAGAAATCTACTGCAAACTGGCCAAAGGACTCGGCATCACAGCAGCACAGTGACGGAGGAGATCCTTACTGTAATTACTGCCTTCAATGTGCAACAACTTGCTTGTGAACAGCAGCAGCCTTCAAACCCCAGGCCGCGTGCTGGGGCTTCAGGGGGTGCTCACTCTCGCTACTGGGGTGCACAGCCCATGGTGCTTCCATGCAGCTGCCTTGGCTGCCTGATGGAGAATGAGCTCCAGATTTGATGCGATCCGACAAGCAGCCTGGCTCTGAGGCTTGGAAAGCCTCGCCTTCCGTCGTGCCCTTGTCCACGACGGTGATGCAGCCTCGTGTGCCTGGCTCCACCCGCGTTGCTCTGGGGGATCAGAGGTTTGGGGGAGCTGATGCAGCCTGCCAGCCTCTCGAGGGGATGATGGGGAGAGAGGGTGGATAGCCGAGCAGGATCCATCCCATCCACCCTCTCCTCCCTGACAGCACCCAGCTTCCAATGCCAGCTGGGATATCTCCATAGGAACCTCGGCTGGGGGGGTCTCTAGCATCTGTCTGGGTGAGGGCACTGCTCCCCAGCGCTGAACCGGCCCTGTGACAGAGGAATACTCAGTATCCCAAATACTCAGCCTGTTCTGGCTTCAGGTGAGCTGAGCTCTGCGAGTCCCGTGCCTCGGGGTCACTCCCACGCTAAGGCATCCAGCCTGGCTGCCGGGCGCCCCAGCTCCGATACCTGCTCGCCAACACACCCTTTGCCTTTTCTGTTGTCTCCCCTCTTCATCTCTTTGCTCACCTCTAGTTGCTTCCATCATTCTCTGTGTGTTTCTTCACGACCGGAATTCTTTCAGTTGCCTAGGTCTATTTTTTGTCTGTTCTTGGTAGTCTCGATGAAGGTCAGTCACCATTTTATATAGACTCACAGAATCATTGAGGTTGGAAAAGACCTCTAAGATCATCAAGTCCAACCGTCACCCCAACCCCACCACGCCTGCTAAACCATGTCCCAAAGTGCCACATCCACACGTTTTTTTGAACCCCTCCAGGGACGAGGACTCCCCCACTGCCCCGGGCAGCCTGGGCCAACGCCTGACCACTCTTTCAGGAAAGAAATTTTTCCTAATCTCCTATCTAAACCTCCCCTGATGCAACTTGAGGTCACTTCCCCTCGTCCTATCACTGGTTCCTTGGGAGAAGAGACCAACCCCCGCCTCACTACAACCTGCTTTCAGGTAATAAGGTCTCCCCTTATGAAAGTATACAACATTTTCCGTGCTGGTTTTGAGGCTGCATTCCAAAACTGCTTACTCCTCTGGCTGCTCTCCCCTGGAATTTCTCCCATCTCAGGCTGCAGATTTTTCCTCCCCTGGGCTGGGTGGCAGCGGAGCTGGGCCCTGTCAGCGCGTGCACCCACGGAGGTCTGCTGCAGGAGCGTGCCGCAGCACGGCTGCACGCTAACATCCAGAGCGGGAAGCTCAGGCAGGCTGCTGTTTGGATGCTGAGCTGATCTGGGCTGCTGCTTGTTCTCCGCGATTCCCGCTGGAGTTATCTCTGGGGCTTCGCTGGAGTGGTGGTGCTCTCTGCCCGTGCCCGTTGGACGTCTGCCGTGTGCAAGCGGAGCTGGCAGAGTGGGACGCGTTGGGGGTGTCACCGCTCTGGGAACAGGGAAACCCAAGTGGGGACAAGCTGCTACACCTGGCGCTGGATGACAGCACTCCTGGTATGTCCTTTGAACCGCAAATTTCCAGGCCAGACTGTGGCTGGAGACCATTAGTTGTCGCAGCCACCAGGCTCGGTGACACGTAACCCCCTCAGAAGCTGGCATCTGTTTAACCAGCAGCAATACGAGCGCTTTGGAGGCCATGGAGCAGGCGCTCGGCTCCCCCCCTCCCACGTCATCCTTGTTGCACGGTGCTGGCATCAGAGCTCCTTCCACCTCGCAGCTCCGGGGTTTTGCACGCTGGAGTGGAAACGTATCTGAAATGACACTTCAGCTGCTGTTTGCAGCCTGTTTTGCCCAGGGCTTGAAGGGGTTAAAAAAAGCTGAAGAAAGGTTAGAAGGTTTTTGAGTACGTGAGTAACCCTCTAGCATTTCTACGACTGAGCCGAGCAGCTCCATTACTGCTTGTATCTTTTATCTTAAACGCTTTGTTCTGAAGCAGATTGCAGGTTTCTGAGTCACTCAGTTTATCAGGCTCAGGGAGGTGAAGCCTGACTCTGTGATGCTGCTCAAAGCCAAAATGCCCACAAAATGGCATTTCCCAAACACAGGGAGAGGAGCCCACTGAACTGACGCTACGAAAGGCAGATGCTCTACAAGGACTAGCTGATACCTAATATATCCACACAGCAATACTGA